TTTTTTTGAGAATTTTAAATGAAAAAAAAAAAAAAAAAAAAAAAAAATATATATAAATTTTTTTTTTTTTTTTTTTTTTTTTTTTCCTGGATTTGGCAGATATGTATAATTATATTAAAATGGTTCTAGCACACTTGATGGTTGTCTTCCATTTCAATGGCACCCGGCGAGGGATGGCGAGGGGCGACTCCGTCTGCCGCGGGGATTTCTCGGTGGCAGCCAGGAGTGGGACCAGGAGGGGAGGGGGCTTTGCTGGTGGCTCCCGGAGGTGAAGGGGGGATTATTTTATTGGTTGGGGTTTTTAAAATTATTATTATTATTTTTTAAAGCAAGGAAAAACCCCCGTTCGTTACAAACAGACCTAGGATAACGTGAGCTCCCCATCCATCCCAGCTTTCCCAAATCTCACCGTGGGGAGGGATGCGTTGACTCCGTGTCCTCCTTGGTTGCCTTTGGGGAGAAATCCTAAACTTTCCAGGCTGATCCAGGGAGGAGAAGGGGGGGACCTGGGAGCCATCAGGCAGGGTTATCCGAGCAGAGGTTGTTGGGGAAGGAGAGAGGACAAGGTTTGACCATGATGAGAAGCCACAGCACCCCACGGTGCAGGATCAGGCCCTTCCCAAGCGCCCCTGCTCTTGGTGGCTCTTTCTCTGTCCTTCTTCCTCTCTCTCCCTCTCTCTTTCTTGAGCCCTGAACTCAGTTGGGATTTAACGCAGCAAAAAAAATGGACTTCTGGAAAGAGAGAGAAGGTGGAAAAAGCACCCTCCACCGTCCTGTTCCTTGTCACCAACATCCTCCAGCCACCCTCACCCCAACACGGTCCCCAGGACCGGGGAGCATGAATGCTGCTGTGGTGCCTCTCCAGCCATCCCTCAGCTCCCCATCCCCGCATCCCAAACGGGTTGTCCCCTTCCCCAGGCACTGGCAATCCCACGGTGGCACGTATGTCCCCTGCCACCTCCAGCAAATCTCAGCCTTCTCAATGAACCCATCAGCCAGCTCTGAACGAGGGTGAATTTTCCTATTTCTTCGTCTTAGCGCTTGTCGGTTGGTGATTTTCTCATTTATTCCTTTTTTTTTTAATTTTTTTATTTTTATTTTTTGTTAATTTCCATTTTTTTTCCATCGGGAGGACACGTGTGGGGAGGGTTTGGGCAGCACATCCCCGGAGGCTGCCGGGGATGGCTCAGCTGCATCCCCACCGTCGGCTCCTCACGGGAAGTTTCATTTCTCCGCCGATTTGCTTCAAACCAACAAAGTTTACCCTCCCCCAAAAAAACAATTCAAGCAAAATAACGCTCGGAAAAAGCAAGCCCTCGTTGAACTGGGGCGCAGCATCCCACCTGCCTGGGAAAAGCTCTTTGTTTCCTGGGCTTTTGATTATTATTTTTTTTAAAGCCCGGTTAAAACCTCTTTTCCCATTTTGCTTTTCCCCATCTTATCTTTTACTTTTCTTTCCTGAGCGTTTCCCTGTCTGTTAGGGATGAGCTCCTCTGCCTCTGACTCATTTTTATCAGAAAAAGCCGATTCATGGCAGGAATTTCTCTGAATTTCCCCTGGCTTTTTGCACTTCCCACATTTTCTCTACCTATTTGTTTCCGATTTTAATTTAAATGGACACTCGCGTGGGCAAAGGGCAAAATCCCAAGGCGAGCTGGCAAACGCGAGATATTATATAAAGACCATTTTAACTCCTGTTTCATTTTTAATGTTTCAGATCTCCCTTCCGGCTGAATTCATTTCCTCTGAACTCAGGCTGCGGGAGGCCATTCTGGAGCCAATAAAATCAGAGGGAAAAGGTGGAAGGACCATCGATTTCGTGTCAGAAAGCTGAATTTTAGGGGGCAAAGAGCTGAGTAGAAGGGTGTTTGATTTGAGGTGTCCCCTCTCCTCCCAAAAACACACATATAAGTGAATCCTCTCCCTGTTCTGCCGGGTGACATTTCCCACCAGAGGTGGGATGGGGGGAAGGGGGGGGGGCAGAACCCAAAAAATTGAAAAAGCAAAAAAACTAGGAGGGAAGTCTTGGCCCCAACCACAGTTGAGCTGTCTCAAATGTCAGCTCCATCTCTTCTGCCCGCTCCCTGCCACCACCAGCCCACTCTGCCCAGCCTCTCCCCAGCAACCTCTGCTCCCACCCCAGGGACCCCCAAACCAGGGACAAGTTTTGGGGTGATGGCATTCCCAGGAGGAGGAGCCCCAGGGCTGGGGAGCACTGCCCGTTTCCAAGGAGATAGAGGGAGAGTTATTGAAAAAAAGCTGGATTTAGGGAATGACAGCAGAACTTCCCCACCTGGTGCTGTGGAGGGGGGCACAGGGAACCCCAAAACTCCCACTCTCAACCCTGGCACTGCCCTTAA